TTATGGTTTCTTTATGGCAAATTCCCAGTAGTGGAATTGCTGGGTTTTTGCAACTTTTTGAGAAAGTGCCACACCACCTTCCACAGTGGTTGCACCATTTTATACTCCCACCAACAGTGAATAAGGGTTCCAGTTTCTCCACAACCTTGCCATCATTTGATGTTTGCTCTTCTGTTAAATTTTGCTATTCTTATTGGGGTGAGATGATATCTCATAGTTGTTTTGATTTGCATCTCTCTTAGAGCTAGCGATGTTGAACATTTCTTCATGTGCTTGTTTGCCTCTGAATTCTTCTTTGGTGAAGTGTCTGTTCATATCCCATTTTCCAACTGGGTTATTTACTTTTATCTTGTGTGGTGTTTTATTATTAATTTTAATGAAAGTTTACAGAGACTTTGGATTTCCATTCATTCATTGTTGCACTTTTCTCCCTGCCCACCCCTCCCCCCCAGTTCACTCTTCTCTTTGAAAAGTAAAAAACTCTTGGCTTAAGTGACACCTAATTTTTTTCCTGGTTCTTGTTAAACACTTCCAATTCTTTCCTTTTCTAGCTCTTTGGAAGCTCTTCTTCCTCTGGCCATCCTTAAATGCTTGTCTTCTCCAGGTTTGTGTCTTTGATCTACTTTTTTCTCCCTCTAGACTGAGGGTGATCACATTTCTTGTCACAGTTACAATTATTCCAATTCACTGATGACGGTAACATTTAAACTGCCACCGATGCTTAAGGAAACAGCCTCTAGCATTAATGCAAAGATAATACATCTAACACTTGCTTGCTTTCTTGTATTCCAGTTTAGTGGTGTGTCCTCACTTAGATACCCAGTGCCACATCTACAAGCTGTCTTTGTGCAATCAATGGTTCTCTCCTACTGGTGTTATTTCTTATATCCATTCAGGTTCTTCATCTCTAGTTCTACATCTTTGTTAATACCTTAAACAGTCATCTATTATTTCATTTACTCAAAAATGTCTTTATTGTTATATGATCTGTATTCAGTTTTCTAGACACCTATGTATATGATTCAACTTCAGTCACAACCTGGTTATATCACTTCCCTTCTCCATTCCCATTTCTGGGCTAACTTCCCCTTCCTTGGGCTAACACAAGATCCTGTGCATCTCTCAGTTACTGAATCTATCACATCACATCACGTCATTATTATGGCCTCCCAAGAAAGTAGATTTCTTTAGGAGAAAGGCAGTGATGGAAGGACAACTTCTTCTTATCCAAAACCTCATGATGCCAGTAGGGTTTTTTAAAATTTGTTTTCTTGATGTTGAGATGTAATTAATATTGTAAGTTTTTTCATATGAAGTCTTTTGATCTTTTATAAGTACTTCAAGTCCTCACTTTCAGCAAGCAAGGTTTTGTCATCTCATAATGTAGACTGTTGATGAGTCTTCCTCCTATCCTGATGCCATATTCTTCTTCATAGAATCCACCTTCTCGCATGATTTTCTCACTGTACAGACTAAATAGGTATGGAGAAAAGATACAACCCTGACACATACATTCCCTGATTTTAAATTATGCATGTTCCCTTGCTATATTCAGACAACAGCTTCAATGTTAGCCATAATTTATGATCCACACAGTCTAATGTCTTTGCATAGTTAATAAAAATCAAGTCAATAATTTCTGTTGTGTTTTATCTCACTACCAATGGAGAAAAGATTAACATTGTCACATATTTCACTTGGATCCACAATTAACACCGTTGGTAGCAACAATCAAGAAATTACAAGACGTGCTGTAACGTGAAAATACGTTGTTAAAGACTAAAGTTCTAAAGAGAAAGAATGTCAGTTTAAAGACTAAGTTGTCCAAGTCTTGATGTTTTCAACTGCTTTCTATGCACCTGAAGTTTGGACAATGAATAAGGAAGACAGAAGAAGAACTGATGCATTAGAACTACAGTGCTGGCAAAGAATATTCAATATACCATGGACTGCCAGAGGAACAAATATATCTGTCTTGGAGGAAGTACAACCAAGGTGCTCCTTAGAAGCAAGGATGGTGAAACTTCATCTCACTTACATTGGGAATATCTTCAGGAGGAAACAGTCCTTGGAGAGATCATGGTGGGGAAAGTGGGTGAACGAAAGGAAGACCCTCAACAAGACGAACTGATCTGACAATTAAACAATGGACTTGAGCATGAAAGAGATTATGAGGATGGTGTAGGATCAGGAACAGTTTAAATCTTTTCATAGGGTTGCTATTAGTTGTAGTTGACTTACCAGCACCACTAACAACCAAAAAAAATCCCTAATGCACTACTGGTGAATCAATTCTAACACACATTAGCCCTTAAACAACAAAACCCACCCCCTTCTTTACAGTTGAGCTAGAGCCAGCAGATAACTCTCTAATGGGTTTACTGAGACTGTAAACCACACAGGAGATCTTCTCCTGTAGAGATGTTAGTGAATTTGAATTGCCAGAGAAACAGTAGCCTTTGGAGCAGCAGTGCAATTCCCTACAGACTACATCTCCAAAGCTCCCTATAGTAATTCTTTGTTGTTTTCAGGTGTCATAGATTTGACTACAAATCACTATTACCCTATGAACAACAGATCTGACCTTGCCCTATCCTGTGCCGTCTTCGCCATCTCTGAAATGCTCAAGCCCATTGTTACAGTCATTGTGTCAATCCAACTTGGGGTCCACCTCTCACCCTCTACCTTTCCTTCTGTGATATCTTTTCCCAAGGATTGGCTCTCCTAGCAACAGTAACCCTTAGTGCCCAACAAATGACAGGCCTTCAGAATAAAGACTAGAAGATGCTATCCTACCTCTAACTTTGGTAATATTATTCTAAAAATCAGCCTTAATAAACGACAAACATATTGCACTTTGTTAGCTACCTAAATGAAGGATTACTTAAAATTTTATTTTACAGAAAGAACAAATATAACCTTAACAAGAGAAATTAAATTTTCATTTAGACAAAATGTATAACTGCAGATTAAAAACTATACTTGATTACATAGCTTTCTGATGACCCTTGCAGCTTCTGGTGGCATAGTGTTAAGAATCTGTGCTGCAATCCCCAAGGCATATGGTTTGAATTCACCAGCTCCTCCACAGGAAAAGGATGGGAAATCTCCTCCTTTGCCATTAACTGCCTCTGAAAACCCACTGGAGAGTCAGCTCCAACTTGACAGTACACAAGAACAACATGGTGACCCCTAAGGGTGCTCTGGTGGCCTGGTGGGTAGAAGGTGCATTGCCAAGCCGAAGGCAGATGGTTCACCCACCAGTGACTCTTTTAAGAGAAAGAAGGGCAATATCCTCCCAGGCAATTTACAGTCTCTGAAAATCCTCTGGAGGGTCAGCTATGGATGTGTTTAGGTTCAATGGCAATGAGTGAGTGACGAATGATGGTCCCAACCTGTTACCTACGAACATTACACAATAGGGAGATCTGGTGGCTTAATGGTAAAGAACTGTACTGTCAACCCAAAAACATGTGGATTGAATTTATCAGTTGTTCCTCAGGATAAAGACGGAACTCTCCTCCCATGTGATTTACCGCCTCTACAAGCACCCAGGAGGATCAGCTAAGAGTTTGTTCAGTCTTCGGGGCACATAACAACAATAACGAGCTATGGCATCATAAGGAGCTCTGGTGGCACAGTATGTTAGGTGCTGTGCTGTGATCTGCATTCACCAGTTGCTCAGTGAAGGTGTATAGTCTCAGCAACCTGACGGAGTGTCACTATGAGTCAGAACTGACTTGCCGGCAGCAGTGTGGTGCTAGTGTTGGATAAAAGAGCCCACTGGCATTACACACCACTAGTGCAACACAGTAAGCAGATTGTTGAGAGTAAGCAAAGCCATATTTTTTCACCCTTTAAGTAATGAACCCCAAAAGGCTCTGGTTTTAAAAACAAACATTATCTAAACAACTATGAGATATCACCTCACCCCAAGAAGAACAGCAAAATTTAACAGAACAGCAAACATCAAATGATGGCAAGGTTCTGGAGAAACTGGAACCCTTATTCACTGTTGGTGGGAGTGTAAAATGGTGCAACTACTGTGGAAGGCGTGTGGTGCTTTCTCAAAAGTTGCAAATAGAAATACCATTTGACCCAGCAATTCCACTACTGGGAATTTACCATAAAAAAACCATAACTGCCACCCAAACAGATATATGCATACCCATGTTTATTGCAGTTTTGTTTGCAATACCAAAGAGCTGAAAACAACCCAAATGCCCATCAACAAACAAATGGATAGAGCAGCTCTGGTATATTCACACAATGGAATACTATGCAGCATTGAAAACCAAGGAACTCATGAAATAGTAATGCAAAATGGATGACCCTGGAGGACATTATGCTGAGTGAAATATCTCAGTCACAAAAGGACAAGTATTGCATAGGGACACTGATGTAAAACAGGACTGACATCAGGGTTCAGAGAAGATGGAGAAGGAGGGGAGGAATGATGTATATTGCACTGAAAAAGATGAGGGAGAGAATTGTTTAAAAGGGACATATGACATATGAATGGGTATTCTTGTCATTACAGAAGTCCAGAGCAAAAGCTGCATAGTGGAATAGACTTGGAGGGAAGGGATTGCATAACAATGAAAAAAAGAGTTTTTCTTTTACATTTCAAGGAGAAGAGTGAATTGGGGGGAGAGGGTGGGTAGGGAGAAAAGTGCAACGGTGAATGATTAGAAACCCTAAGCCTTTGTAAACTTTCATTAAAATTAATGAAAAAGAAAAAAAACCCACACAAACATTATCTGAAACTTTGATTACCAACCCACAGTTCAAGTGGTTCATTTCTTTCTTTTCATGCTAGGACTGTGGTAATCACAAGTTAAATGGGGCAAGTTTCCATACAATTACATGAGCATGACCTTTAAACCAACAAATGGAAATGTTAAATTAGCAGCTGTATGGGGGTTGGGGGGGTTTTGTGTGGCGATTTTTGTTTACCAAATGACTCTTACAATTCTCAGGAAATGGTAGAAAGCTCTTACCTGACTCAATCTTGTTCAGGATTTTCCTTGCACACTGCACAAAGGCCTCTTCCACGTTCTCCCCTGTCAGCGCACTTGTTTCCAGAAACATCAATTCTAAAGTCAACACAAAAGAGCCAGATTGAGGAGATGCTCAAAGTTATGGAACTTCTAAAAATGTTCTTAATCTTAAACTAGCAAGTTATATAATGTGCTTAATATCTTAAACTAGCAAGTTATGTAAGCACTTCTGTGACTACAAAATTAATATATGTCAAGATACTTTAAAAATGTCAGAAATCTAACCTTTTCTGAAAGGAAATACCATCTTCTGCTGGCACCTAAATCTGTTTAAGAAACTAAATAGGTGCTAACAGTTTTCAGAGTTACTGGGTTAGTAGAGAGCTGCTGTTGTTGTGTACCACTGAGTCAGAATCAAATCATAGCTGACTTTCCTGTGGGTTTTCAGAGGCTGTAAAGCCCAGGGGAGGAGTCTACTAATCTTTGTCCCGCAGTTAAGGGGAAGGCCCATGAAAATGGTGAAATTGTTGGTTTACAATGAAATAGCAATTTCCTTCTTCAAATAATCTGTATATCATTACAAAATATGATAAAAAATATATAGACTGTATTCTCTTATTTGCTGTCTGCTTGTTCTGACTTTGAAGAAATTCTCTACAAATGAATGTTATTCTTAGCCACTAGAGTGGTTACTAGAATGGTTCCAATAGAAAGATCCTTTCCCTTGTTCTCTCAGGCAAACTAACACATTTCTAGTGGGCTGGATCCTTCCTTGTAAAAACAAGGAAGGTTCAGTTCAATGACATCTAAATTCCTTTGGAGTGTCAATATTCCATACTTTTTTAAATTTCTAAACAGTTTCAATTTTTCTGTCAGTTTTTTCTTATCAGAAAACCTAGCCAACTTGTAAGAACAGAATTTTTTAGTTCTCAAGTCTCACTGATTACTGAAAATATGATATTTTAGTTCTTGATTGGTTCTCAAAGCAAAGTTATTTAAGTGTGTAAAATTTTATCATTCTGCTATCTAATAAGAAGCCATTTACTTTGTGCTATTTTTACACATTTTGTATGGAAACTCACAGTAGCATCAAAGGTACTTATAACCTATGGGCTTAAATTTATAGTAAATCAAGGGACTCAAGTTTACAGCAAACAAGACCAAAATTTTACCAGTTTGAGTTCAAATAAAATATGAAAATACCATCTAGTTTAGACATTTCACAATTATTGCTATAAATTGCACTATTAACTAGTATACAAAGATCCAGGGCTACAAAGTCATGAAAGAATGTATGTTTTAGCTCTGAATCCAAATCACTGTCAATAAGAGAGATGTAAATCAAACCCACAATGAAGTATCATCTCACTCCAGTACCAGTAGCAAAGTTTCACAGGGCAGCAAGTCATAAATGTTGGAGAGGATGTGGTGAGAAAGGAACTCTTATACATTGTTGGTAGGATTGCAAAATGGTACAACCATTCTGGAAGGCAGTTTGGTGCCTTCTCAAAAAGCTGAACATAGAAATTCCATATGGTCCAGCTATTTTCACTACTTGGAATAAACGCTGAGAAAATGAGAACTGAGGTACAAACTGAGATTTGTACACCAATGTTCATAGCAGGATTATTCATCATTGCAAGAACATGGAAACAGCCCAAATGTCCAACCACAAAGGAATGGATTGAGAAATTATGGTACATTGGCACAATGGAATACTATGCAGCATGCAGGAGCAATGATTTTGTAAATTATTACCTAACTTGGGAGGGACTGGAGAGCACTATGCTGAGTGATAAATATTGTATAAAAAACACTATTGTAGAATGAGTATGAGGATCCAAGAGGGGTGGGAGAGGCTGGAAGCAGAGGGATGTGGATGTGCAGGATGAGGGGAGATTAATCACTGCGTTGTACAATTTGACGGGTGGGAAGTGTGAGGGAAATTGAAACAATTTGTTCGAATTTGTATTTGGATTTTATAAACTAGTAGATAATTTTAAAAAACCAGACTGTATGTTTTATAAACATGTATACTAAATATGTTTGTTTTTAACATTATAGTACTTTTATATCAGAATGCAAATACACTGAAGAGAAGCTAAATATTTAGAGTCAAAATAATTGGATGCTTTATATCTTGTTTTTTTAAGCAATGCAAAGTGATTTTAAATTTATCATTCAAAAGATATCATATATATGCTGAGTCATGGGCATGGATTCTTGGTGGCATAGTTCATGATGCACTGTGCTGCTGTCCAAGTGCTGGGGGTTGAATTCACTAGTAAAGATTTACAACGTTATAAACCCAATGGAGGGTGGCAATGTGTTGACATAGGTTTGTTTTTGTGTTTTGTTGTTGCTGTTGTTTTTGGAATAGTAGAACAACCTAGTTTATGATTACATGAAATGTATGTAGATTTTACTTAAAGTATAGAAAAAGGGCTCACATATTAGACTATATATTGAAACATAGATTTTATATGTAATAGTCTGCCATTTTTAGTATACTGATTGATGATAAAAAAATCTGAATGTTTATCTAAAACTCTCTTATATAAACATAAAGCATACAATATAGTTAAAGATAGCATAAAGTTAAAAACTAACTTATTTTATATTGTTCATAGTAAAGATAATGAATGTGATGAATCTATTAACATTGAAAAGGCACTGGTGGGGCCATTGCTAGGCAGTGACTCCTATGCAGTTTGGCAAAACCAACCTGTCTATCTAAAAGGTGGGGAACTAGAATAATTCAGGGACACTTAAAAATATTGTTCATAAGACAATTCCAACTCCATAACATTACAGGGCAAACAGAACTGTCACGTTTGGTTTCCAAGGCTCTCGTCTCCATTTTTCTCCTATGGAGCTGGCTGGTGGGTTTGAACTCTCAGCCTTTGGATAGTAAATGAATGCTTAACTATTGTGTCACTAGAGCTTCTTCAGGGATACATACTAAGGATTATGCCTCTGCTCTCTATGACAGTTCCCCCTTCTTTTATGAGGCCAAATCAAATGTTCCAAAGTTCCTAAATAGGTCTATCTACTGAAAAATTACATCTTGGAAGTTGGTTGAAATTGCTGAAAGATCTTTCACAGCTGGCAAGGAAAACTGATATTGAATGAAACTGGACATTGGTATCCTCCCCAAAGTGGTCATCTAGGGTGCCTATCTGCCATGTCTTAGATACATAACTGTTCCTAAAACATTTCCCCAGAACACCTACCATACAGTTTTCGTTTATAACTGGGTTTCAGTAACGATTTGACAGTTACTGCAAAAGTCTATTGAAATGTTAGCTTACTTGTGAAGACAATATCTTTACTATCACCAAAACCTCTTCTAAAATGTACTCGAGTGGAGCTTATAGCACATAAAAGAGCTCTTTTCAAGCATTATGAGTGCACATTTTCTTCTGGGCATCAAACTGTGCTCAGTTAATTTGTTTTGCTGACATAGGGTGGTGATATCCAGTGCACTGCTGGTGTCTGGTATTTTGAAAATTATTCTGGAAACAGAAGTAGCCAGATTTAAGGACAGTTGCTTGTGATGTTTTAAAAACAGCATCTCTGGAAATAATTTAAGTGTCTTGTGCTTTGTGGTAAACCTGGAGGAAGTCAATTAGCTATACTATGTCATTTGCAAAATGGAAACTATAGGTTTGTTGTTGTTGTTATGTGCCATCAAGTCACCTATGACTCATAGTGATCCTATGTACAACAGCTCTGAAAGCTGCCCTATCTTGAGCCAATCTCATCGTCTCCAACATCTAATCTCATTGCTCCAGTCACTAAGTCAATCCATCTCATCCTGAGTCTTCCTCTCCTACACTGTCCCTTCCCTCTCCAAGGATTAGGCCCTCCTGGCCACACGCCCAAAATATGTGAGATGGGATGCTCCATATCTTAAATGAAATTTAATCTGCAAACTCCAGCACACGTTTAAAACTCACAGAACTGCTACTATGTCCAGAGCTGAAATCTGAAAAAGAAAAATAAGAGCTATACAGGTCACTTGCCATTTTCTTGAGCAAATCTGGAGGCTTCTAGAAAAGTCACTTCTCGATCTGAGTCCAGATCCTTCTTGTTCCCACAGAGGATGATCACAATGTTTTGACTGGCTAGCATTCTGGCATCTGTTAACCAATTAGTAAGCGCATTGTAGGTTTCTCGGCTGCATAATATAAGATTGTGAAAATAATATATGTATTTTATAAAACCAGCAGTCTTTTTCAGTCAACCACACCATTCACCCTATTTTTAGACATGCCAGGCTAACAGCACTTTTGTGATAATAACTCAAGTACCTAAATGCACACCACACCACAAGAGTTACTTTTGGAAAAGAAAGCCAGTGAGATAATTCTGTTATTTAACACAATCAAGGTATAGAGAAAGATCCACAGAAGCTCCTTTATCTGTTTTAAATACAAGTATGTGATGCTTGCTTAAAGTACATGCTATGGTTCTGTAAAAGTGAACATTAGTTATAGAATTCACCGGGGAGAAAGATGGGCAATCTTCTTCTGTGCAATTTACTGCCTCTGAAAACCCAGTGGAGGGTCAGCGATAAGTCAGTTTTAACTCAATTGTACACAATAACAAGTACAACAAAGTCATCTAGTACAAGCCTGCCACGAGGCTTTCTTCTGGGTAGAACTCTCTAGGAAGCACCTAAGGGCCCAGTCAAAATGAGGGACTGAATAGTAGCTCCAGCCAGCCAGGCAGGCATGGCTGCAAGGGTCCCAGCATGGTGGCCATTAGGAGCCACAGGAGAAGGCTTGGTCCCTGCGTGATGGCTGTGAGAAGCCGCAGGATGAGGCTATAACTTCTGGAGTCCCAGCATGGTGGCTGTGAGAAGCTGCAGTATGAGGCCATAGTTCCTGAAGTCCCAGTGTGGTGGCTGTGAGAAGCCACAGGAGGAGGCCATGGTCCTAGTATGGAGGTTGTGAGGAGCCACAGGAGGAGGCTGTGGTCCTAGTGTGGGGGCTGTGAGGAGCCACATGTGGCAAGCATGGTGGTCACGAAGAGCTACAGGGGAAGGCTGTGCTCTAAGTGTGGGGGCTGTGAGGAGCCACAGAAGGAGGTCGTGGTCCCAGTGTGGGGGTTGTGAGGAGCTGCATGGGGTGGCTGTGGTACAAGTATGGTAGCTGTGAAGAGTCAGAGAAGACTGAGGTTCCAGTGTGATTGGATGTTGCCCAACTGACAGTTCATTTATTGTGTGCACACACAGTGTTCTGGGCAAACAAGGCTGAACTCGCACCATCTTTCAGTGAGAACAACTCCTAGCTGACCCTCCTGCAGGTTTTAAGCCTGTGAATTGCACAGAAAAGTCCGTCTTTTGAGACACCAGAGAGGTCCCACTTTGGTTGAGCAACTATAGCCTAGGCTACCAGAGAAGTGGTTCTGTAGGAGGAATTTTTCATATGGATTCTTTAGGGATTTTGTGATACAGATTCTATCATTATTCCCTTTGACATGAGAAACACAAGGCCCAGAAAGGGAAATCTAAGTAGCTTAAAGCCACACAGAGACCAGTGGCAAGACACAGAACTTGACTAGGTATGTCCATCTCTGGATGGACTCTTGCGTCTGTAGTTGCCATCATCCAGGGAAGGAGTGCTGGTAGCTTCCGACTCACTGCTCAGCCCTCCAGCTGTCCTCAGGGAGAAGGCAATGACAATCTGCCACTCTGAAGATGATAGCATTAGAAACCCTGCAGGGCAAGTCTACATACTCTATTGTCTCACTATGAGACAGAATCAACTTGATGGTAGTGAGTCTTTCTGTACATTATGGGCAAACAGCCTCTCACAGCATGCTCTGGTAGACAGAGGACTTGACACTTCAGCAGGCTGAGTTTCTTTGAGCAAAGTGAGATGAGGTGAAACCGCCCGCTTCTGACCTCTTTGTCAATGGACCTCAAGTCTGGACACAGACTCAATGAGGACTAAGCAGGGCTGCATTCTCTCACTGTCCAGGTTCCTGCTCAGAAAAAGCCCTAAGGCAACCTGACTTTTCTCTTTCTAGGACTGGCTGACCATCACCAGACAGAATTTTTATGAGGATGAGCTGGATTGGCACACAGAACGGCACTGCAGGACAGCACTTCTGTGAGGACAAGCTGGCTTAAGCCAGCACTGCCAGAAAGCACTTCTATGAGGATGAGCTGGATGGTCACTGAAACCAGCACTGTTGGACAGCACATCTGTGAGCATAAGCTGGATGAACACACACCCCAGCACTGTTGAACAGCATTTTTGTGAGGACAGATCTGCTCTATCAAATACAGCAGCAGGTTGTCATGTAACTGATACTGGGCACTTAGAAGTACGTGTTCACATAACTGGGCTTATCTCATTTAAATGTAATTACACAGACATAAACAACTGAGTCCTGCTGGCACAGCAGGTAAAGTACTTGGTTATCTAAAAGGTCAGTGGTTCAAATTCGCCAGCTGCCTCTCGGGAGAAAGATGTGATAGTTTGCTTCTGGAAACCTAGCCAGGGGCAGTTCTACTCATTCATCAGTGTTGAGCTGGATCCAACTCATAGCTGATTCTTGCAGGTTTTCCAAGGCTATAAAAACCACACAGGAGGAAGGTGCCCATCTGGATTTGAACCACCAAAGAGGCTGTGCTCTTGGACTAGCAGTGTAACTCTCACGGACTAGGCCACCATACCCCCAACTCTATCCTACAGAGATGTTATGAGTTGGAATGGATTTAATGACAACAGATACAGAGCAAAAGCTAATATATTAGACAATGTAGACTTAAGATGCTTGCAATGCACCAACTTACAATGTTCTACCTCTTAATAGCCTCATGAGATTCATCATTCAGTCTTATGATGATCATCTCCATTTTACAGATAAAGAAACAACTGCCTAGACAAGTCAAATAATTTGCAAGAGGAGGTAACACAGCTTGCAACTGGCAGAGCTGGGACTTGAACCCAGGAAACCTGTGTTCAGTCCCCAAAGTCCTATTAACTGTCTCTGAAAACTTCCTAAATATAAATATAAAGTTTTGCTTTCACACTTCAAAGACACTATCAGAGCATCATGCACTGAAGTGTGACTAAACTAGAACTGACTGACCTATATACACCACACAGCCTATTTCTTTACCCTGTAAAGAAGAAATCAGTGCTGTTTCCTGAATGCTGGAGATGCTGCCCACACCTGCAAACCCACAACACACACACACACACACACACTCTCTCTCTCTCTCTCTCTCTCTCTCTCTCTCTCTCTGCAGATGGAGGGGAGGCTCAAGGATCTCAAAGACCAACATGGAGATGTTAGGAACAGATGGCACAGGAGCCCCTACCAGGACAGGCTGAACATTACCTGGTGATGTCATAGACAAGGAGAGCTCCAGCTGCGCCTCGGTAATAACTCCTTGTCACAGACCTTGAAAAAGTAAAGCAAAAATCCTTTACTACTGTGCACCACCTGCTCATAAGCAAGCACCCATTTCTGCTCTGCAAACTATGACAGTATTTTTAAAGAAATGATTCAGCAGTATCTGCTCATATGGGAATCATGCTGCAGTGGCAACAAGGAAATGAACAGTGAGAAAACTAAAGAGCTGCTGTCAACTATGTGATGACATGTAGGGACCGCTTGCCTGGCCTTGTTGGACCTTCACAGGCCCCAGCACTTTTGACACCATGTTTGTGGCCACTGTGCCATCATCTAATCAAAAGGCTCCTTTCTCTCCTTTGCTGCTCTTCAACAAACAAGATGCTTTCCTCCAATGACTGAGCCCTCCTTGATGATGTGACCAAAACAAGTGAGCCAGATGGGTTCTGTTGTGATCCACAGGCTTCTCATTAGCTAAGTGAGAATAGATCATCAGGCTTTTCTCCCTGTTCTTAGTACAGAAGTAACCCTGCTAATATGTGAACTAGAGGTATAGCTTCCAGTATCACAGCGCCATTACTACCACCAGTGTGACAAACTGGTAGATGAGGCTGTGGTAGGGTAAGGCAAGGAATGCTTGTCTTTTCAAAATGTTGCCATTCTTCCACAGACACCTATGAGAGTCTATGAAGAGGGGTGAGGGAAAGAGGCCATCACAAAGCCTACATGGGCCCTGTAGCACTCAGCAATCCTATGTTCATCCTTCAGGAGTTCCACGTCTTCTCTCTTGTCAACATCTGGGAAAAGACAAGTCATTAGGTGGGCGTACCCTCTAGCCAACAACTGGTCCACCGTGATTACACTGTGTGTGTGTTCTCTAACCTGCCTCCCGTTAGGGAGAAGAGAACATGTGCTATATACGTACGTGGAGCTGTGAGCCCACGTTACTTATTTTCCACATGTGGCATCGTGAGGGGTCACTCAGTCAGGATCCCCCAACAGCACAGAACAGCTCATGGGACATAGGCCTGCTGCCTCTGCCCAACAGGCTACCTCAGGGAGAAGCAAAAGCTCCTTTTTTACTTGCCATCTGTCTCACATTTCAGTTTGTGCTCCTGTGGTATAAAGGAGAAGGTTTGAGCTATAATAACTGACTTTGGCTTTGAAGAGCTAAGAAAGTAAATTTAAAATAGCAGCCCTTTTCCAAACATCACAGGACTGATGCATAGTCTGAGGTTCCAGTTTGCCCTCTCCTTCCAGGAAAGTTCAACATTTTTTAATTTCTAACATTCTTTTTGAAGTAATATTGTTTGCACTCTGAATCTACCTTGGCTTTCATCTAAACTCATGCTGCAGAATTCAGAGCTATCTTCTTCCAATGAACTCATCAGACTCCAGAGTAAGTCAGCCTCTACACTAGAGTCCCATTCAACTCTAACATTCTAATGCAGTCGCTAGTCAACAGAAGAAAGACTGCATAAGTTAAACAAAACTTTGTCCATTTGTATTAAAGTGTTCAGAGGTAAAGCTTCTAAAGTCAATGCAGGGTGAGGTGGGGGAGCTAAACACTGAGAACAAAATGGATTCTTTTCAGTGCAATTTTTACTTTTATTAAGTTAGAGAAAAAGCTACCTGAATCGTTCTTGTCCAGCTGTATCCCATATCTGCAACTTTACATATTTACCGCCAACATTTATTATCTTTGAACCAAATTCAACTCCTATAGTGTGATTTGAGTCATCTTTGACTAAAAACAGAAAGATAAGAAAAAGATACTTAGTTTTAGAACATTAAGGAAGCGTGCCTACAAATATAAACAAGTAAAATTTAAATAGAACTGATAACAAAAGCATTCCTGTTTCCAAGAGAATATACAGAATAGTCTTTCAGGATCAGACAACAAAACTTTTCCTTAAAACTCCCACATAAGTCACACATACTAAGACGCACAGTTAAGTGGCCAGGTCCCATCAGAACCAAATCTAAATCTAACCATCCTTTCCTAACATGGACACCAATGGTGAACACATGCCATCTCAGCATATCATGCAGAGAGGACTAAGTGCCCAATGACAGATGTGTAACTAAGCTCATAATAAGGTCACGATACTAAAACTATCAGAATGCATAAGCAGTATAAAAAAAATAAAAAGAAAGCACCACAGTCCTTAAAAGAAAACTTGATGGACATTAAAGACTAAACTGGGGGGGGGGGCAGGAAAAAGGAGCAATAAAAAGAAAATTCCAGGGATACTAAAGGTGCTGAATTTTCATTAAGGTTAGTTAGATATTGTGTGGCAATAATTCTGAATTAATTTGCGGGAGAAACAAATATTATGTTTGATTGGGCAGGGACTAACGGGTATAACAAACACAAAGAAGCTGTCTATAAAGTGAAGCTTCTGTGATCATAAAAAGGATAAACTAAAATCCAATTATAATCATTACACAGTGTATTAATGTTTTTAATTTTGAATTTTATAGGACAAAACTCAAATCTACCACAAATCAAGGCTATCATTTCAAAATATATGGTTTTCTAGGAGAAAGGAAGATTACTACAAATGGTAAAATGTTTTTGGCTACAAAACTGAAGGATGGATGGAAGTTTTGAGTTTACGTTGGAAGAAAAAGGATGGGCTCTTTATCTGAATAACTGGCTAAGAAATGCTATCAAGTACAGGTTCATAGTGTGTGTATGGGGTCACTGTGAGGGGAGATATTATGAAGTACAGGTCCACAGTGCATGCACGAGGTCACTGTCATGGGAAATGTCATGAAGTACAGGTCAATAGCGCATGCATGGGGTCACTGTAGGGGACATGTCATGAAGTACAGGTCCACAGTGCAAGCTTGGGGTCATTGTGAGGGGGTCCACAGTGCATGCATGGGGTCACCGAAAGGGGAGATGTTATGAAATACAGGTACACAGAACGTGTGTGGGGTCACCGTGAGGGGAGATGCTATCAAATACAGGTCTACAGTAAATGGAGAGCATCAGCTAGAGGTGGAAATGCTATAAATTTTATAGGATAAAACTCAAATCTACCACAAATCAAGGTTATCATTTCAAAATTACATATACGGTTTTCTAGGAGAAATGCACAGGTCTAAAGTGTGTGTATGGGGTCACAGTGTGAGAAGATGCTATCAAGTATAGTATACAATGCATGAATGGGGTCAACCTGAGGTGGAGCTGACTTAAGTGCAACTGAAAAATGTTATCCAAACATCAATACTGACCATATTTGTGGCCGAGGTGATGAAGAGTTGCACTGCCAACTTAAAGACAAGCAGTTCGAATCTACCAGCTGCTCAGAGAGCTTTTTCCCTCATTTTCATTGGCAATTTTCTCATATATTTATGGTCTCTGAAAATCTGTTGGAAGGTTAGCTGAGTCTGTTCTGCCTTGATGGCAATCATCACCATCCCCATCTGGAAAATCACTATTTTGAACCCACCTACTACTCTGTAGCCATCCTGGGCCTAGGGTTTGAACCAGGAGGCGGCCTTAAGCCCAAGGCAGCTGGGAAGAAGTGGCCATGTTGTTCCTGGTTTGGCCGGCTCCTCTCAGGCTCTTGGGAAGCTCTCCTTGCCAGAAGGCAGGAGCGTGGTGGTGGGAGTGCAGGAATCGTGGCAAGCTTTTGAAGTCGACTGCTTTTCCGGGAATGTGTTTGACGTGCAGGTTTGCTCTGTCCCTGGAGTGAGGCTAGCCAGCCTGGGCCTAGGGTTTGAACCAGGAGGTGGCCTTAAGTCCAAAGTGCGCTCAGGCCGGCGGCCCTCAGCCAGGTTCAAATTGTCTTCCTGTCAAACATTCTTCTAGGTGGTATTGCACTGGTCTGTGCGTTGCTGTACAGAGGTAACTCGTGGTTGCTGTGGTGCTGAACCTGTGACAGTGATGTGCCAATCATGGTAATGGGCACCCATGATGGACAGTGTTGGCTGGAGCTTCCCAACTAAATCAAGCCTGGAAGCAGGAGTGGCATCCACTTCCAAAATTGGCTTGCCTCCGGAAACTCTATGTACAAACAGTGCTCAAGCTGTTCGTTCATAGGGTCGCTATGAGTCGTCTACGACTTGATGGCATTAAACAACAACAACAACTACTCTGTGAGAAAAAGATGAAACCCATGGTACAGTTCTAGTCTACAGAACAGGCCTTCTGTGACTTGGAATTGACCAGATGGCAATGGGTTTTCTATCAGTTCACGCAGTACAGGTCCACAGCACATGAATGGGGTCACTGTGAGAGAAGAAGTCATGAAGTACGGATGTCGTGACTCAAGCCTGGACAGTATTAAAATCAGTACATATTTTCTACTTGAATTAAGTTACCAGGCAAAACATGGAATCTCAACCTCACTACCAGTGAGTCAGAACCAACTCACAGATGGCCTTCCAGTGAGAAATAACACAGGAGATAATCCATCTTTATCCTGTGGAGCAGCTGGTGGCTTAAACCCCCCTGACTTCAGGCTGGCAGCACAACTCTCTACTAACTAGGCCAACAGAACTCCCTAAACATTGATTAAACATCCCCCAAAAGAGACCCTAACAAGGGCACCTGACTACAAAAAAATGGTCTCAGGAAGGACATTAGTCAAAAGAGATATACTAGGCTCCATCATGAGATATTAGAGGAAGATTATCAAAGTGCTTGAAGCCCTAGTGGTGCAATGATTAAGTGCTTGGCTGCTAATACAAAGGTCAGCAGTTCAAACCCACTAGTAATTCTATGGAGAAAAGAGAAGATTTCAGCTGAGGAAACTCAAGAGCAATTCTACTCATATATCACAGAAGGTTGCTTAGAACCACATGTGACTCAACAGCACACAGCAACAATGAATTGAAGTTTTTATAGAGGAGAGAGTGATTAAATAATTTGAATGAATGTGTGGCCAAATTTTTAAATGTACAATACAGGTCTTGACAACTAGTACAGAAATGTGGGTCACTCAGAGAATACTTGTTAAATTCAACAGGGACTGGTTCTATCACCAATTGCTGAGGCTCAGCTCAACAGAGGCTTCAATAAACTCTTGGTTATAAAGAACATGGAAGAAGCAGAATCAATGTCTAAAATTCCATTCTTTAAAGCTCTTTGTCATAGTGCATCATATTGTCTCTTTTCTCCTCACCACCTTAGGTTATCTTGTACATAGCTATTGTTGTTATGTTATGTCGAGTGGAGTACGAATCACAGTGACCCTATGAAACCAGTCCTGTCCTGAGCCATCCTCATACTTCCTGACACACAAGAGCCCATTGCAGCAGTCACCATATCAATTCACCTTGTTGAGGGTCTTCCTCTCCTTTGCCGACACTCTACCCTTCCCAATATCATGCCCTTCTCCAAGGAGTAGCACCTCCTAGCAACATGTCCAAAGTATGTGATGCAAAGCCTCATCATTCTTGCCTCCAAAGAACACTCTGACTGCACCCTCTCCAAGACCTGTTTGTTCTCTTAGCAGCCCATAGGATGTTCAGTGTTCTTCTCCAATACCACAGCTCAAATACATCAATTCTATCATCCTTCTTCACTATCTAGGTCTTGGATACTCAGCTTGTGATCTGATATACTATGGCCTGAATAAGACGCACCTTAGTTGTCAAATTGACATCACTACTCCTTAATAATTTGGAAAGGTTCATAATTGCGGCTTTCCCTACTGCAATGTGTCTCCTTATTTCTTGACTGCTCACACACCTGACTGTGGATCCAAGCAAGATGAAACTGTTGACAGTTTCAATCTCCTCTCTGCCCACCATGACACTGCCTATTGGTCCAGTGGTAAGAATCCTTGTTTCCTTGATACCGAGATGCAATCTATACTGAAGGCTGCACTCCTTGATCTTCTGCAACAAATGCTTCAAGTCCTTAGGATAAATTTCATCAAATTACATTCATTTTATTTTCAAGCCTTTACTCAACTGTTACTAGATAAACAATTGCCAAGTCTTTTATGATAATAAAAGCATTGTTTATTTTAAAGGCTTTTCACATCTACAGTCTCTTCTATTTTGCAAAGATCCTGCATAATGTGAAATAAAGAAATTCAATCTTCTTTACCAAAAGTCAATGGGGAAAGGTGGGAGGTGCAGTCAAATGGACTGGGTTTTAATTACTAGCTGACGATCTCAAGAGTATATTTAGAGTGAAATGAGCAAATCCAGCTTTCTTCACCAATATTGTTCAAGTCCATGGAAAAAGGTGGGATTTTTCTAGTGGACAGTGATCAAGGAGCTGGGTTTTAACCTACTAACTACTAGGTGACTATCCCCAAAGCACAAAATCAATTTCTCTGAATCTGCTTTCTTACCTGTAAAAGAACTGCTAACAATAACTTCCTTAATTACAGTACAAAGTTGCTGTAAGGACCAAAATATATTATTCCAATTAGGATTTTGCTGATCTCCCCTTTCAGGAAATAGAATTCCTGCCAAAGAATTCCTCTGCTGTCTCTAGCATCAGCACACTACCTTTTACTATGTGTAAAATACGCCGTATTATTACTGTACACTAAAATGAAACTGTAATAACATTAAAACACTAACCTAAAAGCCTTAATTACCGTGTTAAAAGTTTAATTGAATACACTTTTTATGTTATTTAAAAATATTTTAAATGTGACTTTTCCCCTCTGAAAAAACTATTCAGCAGCTTTGCAGTCAAGAAATCTGAACAAAAAAACATTTTCCGAACAAGCCATGCAAGAAAGACACTCAATGTCACTTACATTTCTTTTCAATAAATTGATGAAGGAGGCAAGACTTGCCAGTTCCTGCATTTCCAATAACCAAGAACTTAAACAAAAAATCTAAAAGATAAAGAGAACTGTGTAAATGAATTTCAAAATGGCTGCTATGAATTTATCCTGAGTTATCATAAAATTTAAATTTATAGATTTTTTTTTTAAAAAGGCTATCGTCTTCTTCTTCTCGTTGTTGTGTACCATCAAGTTGGAACTGACCCATAGCTGACCCTCTATCAGGTTTTTAGAGGCAGTTTCAGTACATGGGAGGAGACAGGTTGACCATAACTGAAGAAGACAAATGCCAGAACAAGAGAGAAAGAATAGTTTAGCTGGATGCATCTAATTCTAAACTGGAGCCTCTTTAAGAGAGTGGAGGATGTAGATATCTTAGAGTATTGGTTGTTGAGCCATCGAGTCAGGTGACAACCACTCACAGTAATCCTAAGAACAACAGAATGAACCTGCCTTGTCCTGTGCCAAGCTCATCACTCCAACATGCTTCTGCTCATTGTTATAGTCACTGTGTCAACCATCTTGTTGAGTGTCTTCTTCTCTTTCTCTGACCCTCCACCTTTCCCAGAATGAGGTCATTATGCAAGAACTGGCACCATACATGCCTAGAAGAAGTACCCTGGTTGTACTTCCTCCAAGAGACTTGTTTTGTTCTTTTTGGCAGTCCATGAGATCTTCATCACAATGTAAAGGCACTGATTCATCTTGTCATCCTTGTTTACTGTCTAGTTTTCAAATACACAGGAACTGAATCATATTCATCTTAGTTTTAAAAATTACTTGCTTGCCCTGACATCATATCTTCCCCAATGCAACATGTCTTTTGATTTTTTAACTGCTGCTACCATGGATGCTGACTGCGAATCCAAGTTAAGATTAAATCATTGATAAATTCAATCTTTTCTCCATCAATCATGACAGTACCTATTGGTGCAGTGCTAAGCATTTTTGTTTTCCTGATGTTTAGATGTAATCTTTATTGAAGGCTATATTCTTGATTCTTCTGAAGTTATTGTTTCAAGTTCTTTCACTATCTGCAAGCAAGATCATGTCATCTGCATAATGTAGCTTTCAATGTGTCTTCCTCTAATCTTGATGTAATATTCTTCCTCATATAGTCCAGCTTCTCAAATAATTTATTCAGCATACAGACTGAATAAATATGGAGATAGGATAGAAATATGTCACACGCTTTTCCTAATTTAAAACCATGCAATGTTTCTGGAGTGTCAGAACCCTTGAAAACTGGCTTTCTCTAACAATTGTATTAGCCCCCATTGGGAGAATATCTCCACCTACCTTAACTGCAGACACATGGCCTTGAAAAGATCATCAACAGCTGTGGGACTAATATACGAGAGTTCTTTCCACAGTATGAGGGAAGATGATGATGGTGGTGCAGAGATTGTAAAGAGACTGTGGCAAAGTGTAAGCAGAGAAACCCTGGAAATAGAGGCCACAGTTAAAGGTTTTGCTTGCTGGATGACTGGAAAAACTCACTTGTAACTGCACTGAGATAAAGTTTTTCAGGCCAAATGGAGAAACAAGAGGCTTGCATTTGTGCTGCGGAATTGAACTTTCACTAATTGAGAAATTATGACTTGTTAATCTGGCTTGGGATTGCTGTAATAAACCTTGATTTGCATTGTGAGCTATTATTTGCCTCTCCCACTCTCCAACCCCTTTCTCTAATAAACCCTACCACTATAAGTAAATAGTGTGAGTCTTATAATGAATATCAGACCCAATGATTGGGAAAAATAGGTGCAGGAGCATGTGGGGTAGTATGTTGGACTATATAGCTATTCGTATGGTGCTATGGACATTACTGATCTGTTTAGTTCCCTTTTATGAAATGGGCAGAAATCGGCTAGACTCAGCTACCTTTACATGGCATCTGTTCCCTTATTCTGTTTGAACAACACTTTCTTGGTCTAGGTGTGTAGGTTTCACATGAGCACATTTAAGTATTCTGGGATTCCCATTCTTCTCAATGTTAGCCATAATTTGTTATGATCCATGCAGTCAAATGCCTCTGCATTATCAATAAAACACAACAGACATCTCTTTGGTATCCTCTGCTTTCTGTCAAGATCCATCTGACATCAGCAGTGATATCCCTAGCATTGTGGCCTCATCTGCATCCAGCTTGGATTTCTGGCAATTTCCTATCGATATCTTGTTCCAGTCATTTTTTTTTCAATAATCCTCAGCAAGTATTTTGCTTGCACGTAATATTAATGATATCGTCTGGTAACTTCTATAGTCTTTTGGACCGCCCTTTGTAGGAATGGAAGCAAGTATGGGTCTCTTCTAATCAGCTGGTCCTTCAAATTTCTTGTCATAAACTAGTGAGCTCATGCAGGGCTTTGAAACTGGTAAATCATCTACTTATTTTCCTTGCACAAGCTGCTGTCTTGCAAGGTTAAGTCACAAATGACCCATAGCTGACCTTCCTGAGAGTCTTCAGAGACAGTAAGTCACAAAGGAAGAGATCACCACCTTTCTCTCATAGCGCAGCAGATGGATCCAAACTACATACCTCCACTTTGGCAGCGTAATTCCTTACCACTAAGGCACCAAAGGTAGCTCTGGTGGCCTACTAGCAAGAAGGTGTGCTGCAATCCCAAAGGCACACGGTTCAAGGCCACCAACTGCTTTGCAAGAGAAGAATGGGCAATCTCCTCCTGTGTGATTGATTAACTGCCTCTGAAAACCCACCAGAGGGTCAGCTATCGGTTAGTTCCAACTCTACAGTACATAACAACAAGAAGAATCCACCAGGGCTCACCCAGACAAGTAGGATACTGTATTTGTTTCCTCTTACCCCTAGGAGTCTTAAGAAGCAAGTCAGCTTATGAATTTAAGAGATTATCATTTATTCAAACAATATTTGCAGAGCACCTCAGTTCTCCATGTTGCTGCAGAAAAGATGAAGACTACACAGGTGTTTGCCTAAAAGGTGGTTATGGTCTTTTAAAAAGGAGACAAGATATGTTTATAAAAAGCAACACTGTAAACCAGAGTTGCAATACTTAAGGACTGCCCTTGAAGGTACTAGCAAAAAACAAGGCCAGAAAAATTGATGGATAACTAAGTGATATGTTTCAATAGATGAAGCCCTGGATGTGCTTATCAGGCTATGCCAAGAAACCCAGAAGGGAGCTCCTTGGTCAGTTAACTAGAAGTGACTCTATTTGTTCTCAATTGAAAAAAGAGGGGGGAAAGGTGTACCAACAGACTGCAAAAATTACCAAACAGTATCATTACTATCACATGCAAGTAAAATCTTAAAGATTATTTTTAAATTATTGGAACAGTACATAGACAGGGAACTGTCAGAAATTGTAGATGGATTTAGAAGAGGCCACAGCACCAGGGGATATCACTGATAACATCAGATGGATCATGGCTGAAAGCAGAGAATTCCAGAAGAATGTGTACTTGTGGCTTACCGACAATGCAACATAACAAATTATGGATAACAATAAGAAGATGGGAATCTCACACTTAATCGTACTCATGCAATATTGCAATATCTATTCCTAGACTAAGAAAGAGTTGTCCAAAGAAAACAAGAGAACATTGCATGGCTTAAAATAAAGCTATGTATAAAAGCAGTATCTTTTCTCTACAACTATTGGATTTGTATGCCGAACAAATAATTTGAAAATCTGGACTATATGAAGAAGAATGTAGCTTCAGGATTGACAACAGCCTCATCAATAACCTGTTTTAAGCAGAGGACACACCTTGCTTGAAGAAAGTGAAGACTTAAAGTATGTACTTTACTGAAGAATATCCAAGAACACAGCCTTCAATATGGATTACTTATCAACATCAAGAAAGCAAAAAATCATAATCACTGCACTAACAGGCAACTTTATGATAGATGAGGAAAAGACTGAAATTGTATAATCAAAATCCATGGTAGCAGCATCCAAGAAATTAAAAGACCTGTTGCACTGGGAATAAGTGCTGTCAAAGATCTCTCCAACGAGCTTGAAGACCAAGAGTATCAGACTAAGGTTTCCCTGATCCATATCATGTTATTTTCAATTGCTTTTTATGCATCTGAAAATTAGACAATGAGGAAAATCTTGGTACCTTTGAACTGTGACGTGCAAAAGAGTATTGAGTACCCCAATGACTGCCAAAAGTACAAGTCTGTCCTTAGTGGCAAAGATGGTGAAATTTCCTTTCTCATACTTTGAGCATGTTGTCAAGAGGGGACAGTCCTTAGAAAAAGACATCATGCTGAGAAAGTTGGAGTGTCGACATAAGAGGAAAACTTTAAACAATATGGACTGAGACAGTGACTGTACAATGGACTCGATTATATCAGAAATAGTGAACATGGCACAACACAGGGCAGGGTTCAGACCCATTGTTCACAGGGTCGCTGAGAGCCGTGGTGGTCAGCAGCAGTAGCGGCAACAACAAAACAGAAAAGAGCTACAAGCTGGTTGGTGCCTCCTTGTGTACTGCATGGTTTAGTCTAGACAGTTCTGCAGCGTTATACCGGGAGAATGAAAGTAATTGGAAGAAAAATAAAAAACCACTAAAAGTAAAAATGCAGTATTTGAGCAGGACACGGAAACGTAGGCATCACCCGATATCTCACACTGGGTCCCCAACCTTGAGCCACTGAAGATGGACTAAGACAGAAGAAACCCAAAGTCGTAGTGGAGCGAGCAGCAGGAGTGAACCACAGGGGGTCAACGTCCCTCACGCACAGGCCAGACCCGTCCTCCACCACCACCGGGAGGCGCCCGCCCGAGACCCTGGACATCACGACCCAGGCCTGTCTGGCCTCCTACCATAAGTCTCGGACATGGTTGTTTGTGACATCTTGAAGCAGTGCCACCTCTTCCCTTGTCACTGGCTGCAGCACCGGCCGCTGGCGAGTGCAGAGGGCCGGAGACCTCAGCCTCGTGGCCCGGGTAGTAGTGGCCGGCCGAAAGGGAGGCTACGGCGGGTACAGAGTTAACCACCCTCAAACCCGCGGCAGTTTGGCCACACCGCGGAACTCCGCGCAGGCGCAAGGCCGACAGCTGTTGGCCGTGCCCTCACTGCCGCGATCCGCGCAAGCGTACACCCCACGCTACTTCTTGATCAGGACTACGGTGCTTCACGCAGGCGTACACCTCACAGCAGCTGCCCTGACACTTACTGCTACTGCTTGGGTCCTAATCATAGGGGTCTGAGCCAGCGCACATCCCGCTATTCGTCGGTCTGTACCTGGGAACTTCATGCAAGTGCACACCCATAACAACTCCTGGCCGGGGTTGCCTACAGCTAGAATGTGCACTGGCACACACGCCAGGTGGCTGTTTGGCTCTAAGCGCCAGGAGCACATACCACAGCCTGTGTCTGCTATTCTTCCCCTGTCGCTCTGGGTTCTGCGCCACTCCATGTGGATCCAGCCGATTGGCCCCCACTATCGAGTTACACACAGGCACACAGGAGCAGCCTGTGGGAGCAACTTGGATCCACGCAGAGCCCTGCGTGAGCAATAGGATCCTGCACTCCATGGCTTGGACTGTGCTGGGCAACAGCGGTAGCCCGTGGAACAGCAAGCGTAGGTCCCTATTGGCGGAAGAAAAATGTCTTTGTGTCAAGTTGGGTAGTACAGACGCGGTCATTTGGGGCTGCAGTCATCTTCCCCTTTCTGTGTGTTCTTATTTTTGTGTCTCGTCTTTAATAATTTTCTCCAGGCATTTGTGTGTCTTGTCTCTAATCATTGTCTCCAGGCATTTAAAAAGGTATAATCGCAGCAGGCTTGTGCTTGCATCACAGGGGGTTTAAGTTGTGTGTCTGAGTCTATTCCCTCCTGTTATTCTTGTTGTTTTTGTGTCCATAACCGAAACTTCCAGCAAGTTTTTAGAAGCAGTAAATTTGCAGAGGAGGAGACTATCCATCGTTCTCCCTCAGAGTGGCTGATGGATTCAAACCATATATTTTTACATTGGCAACACAATTCCTTACCACTAAGTCAGTGTTTTAGTGACTGTGCAAAGATATTTTACCATGTGGGAAGAATAGAATTCCAGAGCAATTAATTATGCTTATACAAAATTTATACCAAGAAGCTGTTGTCTGAAGCAAGAGAACACTTTGTTGTTGTGAGGTGCCATAGAGTACGACGCATAGTGACCCTATGACAACTTGAACCCTAACGTATGCTGAACCATCCTCTTACACATTAGCGCACACTGCTGAAGTCACTGTCAAACCATTCAGTTGGGGATCTTCCTCTTCTTCGCTGACCCTCTCTCCTTAGAGGGTAGGATTCGGAAGCTCTGTCTCATATATTTTGGGCACATGGCCAGGAGAGACCAGTCCTTAAAGAAGGACATCATGCTCAGAAGGGTGGAGGTACAGCGGAAGAGAGGAAGACCCTGGATGAAATGGATTGATACAGTAACGGGGGCAATGGAGGTTGGTGTGTCAGAGTGAGATTGGCTCAGGAGAAGGCAGGCTAGAGAGCTGCTGTTCATAGGGTCACTATGGGTCACAGGTGACTCAATGGCACATAACAACAACAACAACAATATGAACGGACTAAATGTGCTGATTAAGTGATAGAGTACCACAATGGATTAAAAAAAAAAACAAACCCAAAACAAACAAAACAAAATCCCCAACAGAAACAAAGCCCATCAATATATGTCCCGAAGAGACACATCTAAGAAACTAAGGGAAAGATGAACTCCAAATCAAAGGTTGGAAAAAATATACCAAGCAAATGACATTCACAAAAAAAGCAGGAGTGGCAATACTGATATCTTATAAAATAGACTTCGGGGGGGGGGGAACCCCACCATAAAAGATAAGAAAAGACACAATATAATGATGAAAGCCACAATAGACTAAGAAGCCGTAACCTTGGTCAATATTTATGCACCAAATGAGATAGACCTGTTAAATACATAACACAACTGTTAACAGAATTGAAGAAAGAATTAGACAACATCAAAATAGTTAGTTGTAGGAAACTTTTAATACCTGGAAGGATAGGTCAACACAAAAGAAACTTAACAAAGATGCAGAATATAAAAAATATGCAATCAGTAACTAGAACTTGTGGATGTATTCAGGACAGAGCACCTGACTAAAATTCAATTTACTTTCTTCTCAAGGGCACGTGGTATATTCTCCAGAATCTATCACATATTAGGACACAAAGCAAACCTCAACAAATTAGAAAACATAGAAATAATACAAAGTGTCTTCTCAGACCACAACGCCATATACTAGAAATTAACCACAAGAATGTAAAGCTTACAAAACAACCCACATGGAAGCTAAATAACACTGTGCTAGAACATGATTGAGACATAGAAGAAATAAAGAATAAAATTTAAAAGTTCCTTGAAATAAATGAAAATGAAAATGCAACACACCAAAACCTCTGGGATGCAGCTAAGGCAGTGCTTAAGGGGCAGTTCATAGCAACTGACACACACACACACAAAAGGAAGACAGAAACAAAATTAATTATCTAATTCAACATATCCATCAAATAGAACAAGAATCTTATCCCACAGCCTCCAGAATAAAGGAATTTATAAGGGCAAGAGCTGAAATCAATGTGATAAAAATCAGAAAAACAATTGAAGCCATCAACAAGATCAAAAGCTGGTTTTTCAAAAGGATCAATAAAATTGACAAACCTACAGTAAACTTAACAAAAGAAAAAAGGAGAAGACAAAAATAATTCACTTAAGAAATTATATAAGTGACATCACAACATAATCAGATAAAATTAAATTGATAATATTGGAATATTATGAAAAGTCTATCTGTACTTCATTGACTGTGCATTTGACTATGTGTATCACAACAAATTGTGGCTAACTCTGAAAAGAATGGGAATCCCAGAACACTCAATTGTGCTTATGTAAAACCTGTATTTGAACCAGGAAACAGTCGTCAGAACAGAGCAAGGAAACATTCCATGGTTGAAAATAAGGAAAGGTGTACGCCAGGGATGCATCCTGCCTCTATGCCTTTTTAATCTATATGCAGAACAGACCATCCGGGAGGCTGGGCTGCATGAGGAGGAATGTGGCATCAGGCTTGGAGGAAGACTTATTTTTGCTTTATGCAAATGACACAACCCTGCTTGCTGAAACTGAAGAGGACCTGAGGCATTTGCTTCAGAAGGTCAAGGACTGTCTGTAGCCTTCTACATAGATTGAATCTCAACATCAAAGAAAACAAAGATTCTTACTACTAGGCCAATAGGCAGCATCATGATAAATGGTGAAGAGGTTGAGACTGTTAACAGCTTCAACTTGCTTGACTCCACAATCAACACTCTTGGTAGTAGCAGCCAGGAAACCAAAGATAAATTGCATTGGGAAAAATCTGCTGTCAGGGACCTCTCTAAAGTACTGAGGAGCAACAATGTCAGTCTAGAGACTAAGGTGCACCTGATCCAGGCCATGGTCCTCACAATTACTTTGTTATGCATTAGAGAGCTGGTAAATGACTGACGGTGATAGAAGAAGGATTGATGCCTTTGAGTTGTGGTGCTGGAGATGAGTAATGAAAATACGATGGCCTGCTAAAGGTTTGTCCTGGAGAGGGTGAAACTTGGTTGCTCTTTGGAGGCAAGGATTTTGAAGCTTTGTCTGGCATAATTTGGGCATGTTATTATTAGTAGGGACCAGTCCTTGGAGAAGTACATCATGCTTAGAAGGGTAGAGTGACAATGCAGGGGATGGAAGACCCTGGATGAGATGGATTGACTCAGTGACTGGGGTAATGAGTGTAGGTGTGTAAGAGATAATGAGGTTAGCTCAGGATAAAGCCCAGCTCAGAGCTGTTGTACATGTGGTCACAAGCAACTCAGTGGCACATAATAATAACAACAACGGCATACTCTGATAAATTTGAAAACCTACAGGAAGTGGACAAATTACTTGAAACTCATAGAGAGATGTCACTTGAACAGACCCATCAAAAAAGAAGAAATTCAGCAAGTCGTAAGACTCTTCCACAAAAAGTCTTGAATCAGATGTTTACATCTCTGAATTACACCAGACATTCAGAAAATATCTATCATCAATTTTATGTAAGTTATTTTTGTGTTGTTATGTGCCATCATTCCTAGTCACTGTCCAACTCTCTGATGCATAACAAGCAATTGCAAAGACTATGGCCTGGATCAGGAACACTTTAGTCTCTAGACTGGCATCGTTGCTCTTAAGTACTCTGGAGAGGGAAAGAGTAAAAAATATGACAGAGATTTTTTTTTTATGAAATTTGTCTTTTGGTTTCCTGGCTGCTAGGACCAAGAGTGTTGATTGTGGAGCCAAGCAAAGTAAAGCTGTTAACAATCTCAATCTCTTCACTCTCTATCATAATGCTGCCAATCAGACCAGTGGTAAGAATCTTTGTTTTCTTTATGTTGGACTTCAATCCATACTGAAGGCTGCAGTCCTTGATCTGCAGCAAGCGCTTCAGGTCTCAGTTTCAACAAGTAGAGTTGTGTCATCTGCATGGCACAGGTTCTTGATGAACCTTCTTCCAATCCTGATGCCACATTCTTTCTCATACAGACCAGCGTCCCAGCTGATCTGTTCTTCATATACATTGAAAAGGTATGGAGACATAATACATCCCTGGCATACACCTTTCCCAATTTTGAACCATGCAGTGTCTCCTTGCTCTGTTCTGATGACTCCCTCCTGGTCCAAGTATAGGTTTTGCATAAGCACAATCTAATGTTCTAGAATTACCAATACTCCCAGAGTCATTCTATTAAACAAGCACAACCCTAATACCAAAATCACGCAAAGATATTACCAATAAAGAAAACTACAGACCAGTATACCTAATGGATACTGATGCAAAAATCCTTAACAGTGGAAAGAGGAAAG